TCATCACTCCCTCGTCTCTTCATCACTCCCTCGTCTATTCATCACTCCCTCGTCTCTTCATCACTCCCTCGTCTCTTATCACTCCCTCGTCTATTCATCACTCCCTCGTCTATTCATCACTCCCTCGTCTATTCATCACTCCCTCGTCTATTCATCACTCCCTCGTCTCTTCATCACTCCCTCGTCTATTCATCACTCCCTCGTCTCTGAATAACTCCCTCGTCACTTATCACTCCCTCGTCTATTCATCACTCCCTCGTCTATTCATCACTCCCTCGTCTATTCATCACTCTCTCGTCTCTTATCACTCCCTCGTCTATTCATCACTCCCTCGTCTTTTCATCACTCCCTCGTCTATTCATCACTCCCTCGTCTCTTCATAACTCCCTCGTCTCTTATCACTCCCTCGTCTATGCATCACTCCCTCGTCTATTCATCACTCCCTCGTCTATTCATCACTCCCTCGTCTATTCATCACTCCCTCGTCTATTCATCACTCCCTCGTCACTTATCACTCCCTCGTCTATTCATCACTCCCTCGTCTATTCATCACTCCCTCGTCTATTCATCACTCCCTCGTCTCTTATCACTCCCTCGTCTCTTCATCACTCCCTCGTCTCTTCATCACTCCCTCGTCTATTCATCACTCCCTCGTCTATTCATCACTCCCTCGTCTCTTCATCACTCCCTCGTCTATTCATCACTCCATCGTCTCTTATCACTCCCTCGTCTATTCATCACTCCCTCGTCTCTTATCACTCCCTCATCTATTCATCACTCCCTCGTCTATTCATCACTCCCTCGTCTATTCATCACTCCCTCGTCTATTCATCACTCCCTCGTCTCTTATCACTCCCTCGTCTCTTTATCACTCCCTCGTCTCTTCATCACTCCCTCGTCTATTCATCACTCCCTCGTCTATTCATCACTCCCTCGTCTATTCATCGCTCCCTCGTCTATTCATCACTCCCTCGTCTCTTATCATTCCCTCATCTATTCATCACTCCCTCGTCTATTCATCACGCCCTCGTCTATTCATCACTCCCTCGTCTATTCATCACTCCCTCGTCTCTTATCACTCCCTCGTCTATTCATCACTCCCTCGTCTCTTCATCACTCCCTCGTCTATTCATCACTCCCTCGTCTATTCATCACTCCCTCGTCTATTCATCACTCCCTCGTCTATTCATCACTCCCTCGTCTATTCATCACTCCCTCGTCTATTCATCACTCCCTCGTCTCTTATCACTCCCTCGTCTATTCATCACTCCCTCGTCTTTTCATCACTCCCTCGTCTATTCATAACTCCCTCGTCTCTTATCACTCCCTCGTCTATTCATCACTCCCTCGTCTATTCATCACTCCCTCGTCTATTCATCACTCTCTCGTCTCTTATCACTCCCTCGTCTATTCATCACTCCCTCGTCTCTTCATCACTCCCTCATCTCTTCATCACTCCCTCGTCTCTTCATAACTCTCTCGTCTCTTCATCACTTAAATGGTGGTACATGGGTTTTTATGCATCAAAGTTTAACCTAACGAAGGACGCATAAACCCTACATAGCCCGAGTGACCCTGCTGCAACGAATTTATCTGTACCTATGTGACATTGTATAGGAATTAAAACAAATTCAAAATTGACAGAAAACAGCAGTTTAAGTGACTCTAAGTAACTGTTGCTACATGTATGTCACGTGACTTATATTGACGCGGTCTTTTGCTTTGAAGCGAGGTATAAGGGATTTATTCTGCCCTTAAGAAATCCACGTGCAGCATTTATTGCTCGTGGTGGGATATAAGAGATTTATTCCTCCGCTGCGAAACTTACAATCCTTCAAGGCGGGTTACACAGTATGTTATCAAGATCACGTTGACAAATCAGATCTCATCATTCTGACATGGAGGTACATGCATGGTAAACTGGATTATATTCATCGAGTGTATACACGTATCCCTAGCTTATTTCTATTTCTTATTACTGTACTATTTCACTGACACCAGAGCAACGAAATTACCATTGTATGCATGTAGATGAGGAGCATAAATAAGTATGAATTTACAAATTCTGAGCTTCACACAGAATGACTTGACCTAAAGACATTAAAGTCATCATTCATTTTTGACATAATCCCCTACCACATTCGTACTCTTTTGTCGAAACCTCCTCCGTGGTCCAGTGGTAGAGCATCCGCCCAGGGAGCGGAAGCTCCGGGGTTTGACCCGTCCGCGTCGTACCAAAAGAAGTAAAATGATGGTACTTGTTGTTACCCTGCCTGGCGCTCGGCATTAAGGGGCTAAAACAAGGACTGGTCGGCTCGTAGTCAGTACACTGTGTCTGAGTGGGTTATGCATTGCTATAAACTGCTGCATGGTATGTGACTAGCACTATTAATCGGCATCAGTCCGGACAAGTACAAGCAGCCACATGCACACATGTTCATGCACGTCGCCATACAAGTGCAATAATCTTGGACGCGTCGTTAAACCCCATTTCACCTCACCTCCCTTTTTGTCGACGATGATGAAGCGATTGTTCCCCTGGAAAAGAAAATTTTAGTGTTAACGTTGTCACTATGACACTTTGGCAAGTAAACAATAGGTTCACGCATTGAGAGGGGTCAAAAATCCAAGTCAAACGGGACAAGAAGATTTTTTTATTTTTGATAACTATTTTTGAGTTATTGAAATGATACTATTATATGTGTTACGATTATCCAGTTCAATTCAATAGTGGTGACAGACAGACATTGATTGTTTGGAAAATATTGTTAATCTTAGGGCGTGTTTACAATTGATCGATTGCTACTTTGTGGATGTCGATGACTTTCACTGCCTAGATTTTACAAGAAATAGAATATACATTACAGTGCATTATATATTAATATGAACTTGGAAACACACAATATATCTCCATATCATACACTTGTCAACACGTGTCACATATCACATGCTATTACACATATGACATATCAAATAGCACATTACACACATAACATCCCTGTAACTTTGGAAGTGTATGATAGTACATCTCCACCTTTGCTGATATTATTTCCAGGCTGACAAAGATCAAAAATGAACTGGAACTGAGCACATCAACGTTGGATAATATGTCTAACGAACTTGTTTTTGTCAGTTATGATGAGGTAGATAGGAAATTACCAAATATTCTTTTCTGCTAAATACAAAATGGAATATGAAGAAATAATGGTGGACATGGCGGAGCTTTGTTTTATTGTGTAACTAGAATAACAATGAAAACAATGGAACATTTGGGAAAAGAATTGGGGACCTTGGAGTTGGTCGTGATGGGTGACTAGGATGATTGTGGTGTATCCGATGCGATTGTTGGGTTGATGGTGGTGCAAGTGATCGGACTGTTAGGTTGATGGTGGTGTAGGTTATGGGACTGTTAGGCTGATGGTGGTGTAGGTGATGGGACTGTTAGGTTGATGGTGGTGCAAGTGATCGGACTGTTGGGTTGATGGTGGTGTAGGTGATGGGACTGTTAGGTTGATGGTGGTGCAGGTGATGGGGCTGTTTGGCTGATGGTGGTGCAGGTGATGGGACTGTTAGGCTAATAGTGGTATAGGCGATGGGACTGTTGGGCTGCTAGTGGGATAGTTGATGGGACTCTTTAGACGGATGGTGGTGTAAGTGATGGGGCCGTTGGGATGCTTGTGGTGTAGGTGATGAGCTTGTCGGGCTGATAGCGGTGTAGGTGATGGGACTGTTTGGCTGCTAGTGGTGTAGGTGACGGGACTGTTGGGCTGATGGTTGTGTAGGTGATGGGACTGTTGGGTTGATGGTTGTGTAGGTGATGGGACTCTTGGGCGGATGGTGGTGTAGGTGATGGGACTGTTGGGCTGCTAGTGGTGTAGTTGATGGGACTCTTTAGACGGATGGTGGTGTAGGTGATGGGGCTGTTGGGCTGATGGTGTTGTAGCTGATGGGACTGCTTGGCTAATGGTGGTGTAGGTGATTGGACGTTTGACGTGATGGTGGTGTAGGTGATGGGTCTGTTGGACTGATGGTGGTGCAGGTGGTGGGGCTGTTAGGCTGATTGTGTAGATGATGGAACTGAAATCCCTCACTTACCTAACTGCAGACCTTTATGTAGAACAACACCATGTATTTATAAAAGCATGGTCCAAACGACCCATGTCAGCAAATCGACACGTAGGCTATATTTTGAGTCATCGTCGTCATGCGCAACAGTCCTGCTTAAAGGCAGGAGTCATTCAAGCTGGTTGTGTTACAGTCTCTGGTACTCGTCTAACCAGTTTGTTGAACCTGTGCTCTGTGAACACGTCAAGACGATGTCACTGTGTTTAAGTAGCAGTCTGCAGCTGGCTATTTACTTCATGTTGGTACTTTCAACATACAGAACAAATGGCCAGTGTGAACTTCAGATGACAGAGAAATTGAAAGTCAGATCTGTCACTTTTAGAAATATTGACTTCAAGTTGTGCCAACTTAAATGCATACAAGATTCCTTCGTTTTCGCGTACTGTCGTCAATCAGTTGATGAATCCAAGGAGATGACGGGCGTACCCAGTGGCCGTCCAACGAGTCATCCCCATGTAAGTTGTATTTATGTCAAATGAATGTGTGTGTATGTGGGTTGCTTGCGAATCGTACCAAGCATCATAGGAACCACATGTCATGTCACTGAACCCTTCCCTCACAGCCCGTCCCTGACCCGGCCCTCACAGCCCTTCCCTCACGCTCCTTCCCTCAACCCGTCCCTTCACAACCCTTCCCTCACAGACCTTCCATGACCCGGCCCTCACAGACCTTCCCTCACAACCCTTCCCTGACCCGGCCCTCACAGACCTTCCCTCACAGCCCTTCCCTCACATACCTTCCGTGACCCGGCCCTCACAACCCTTCCCTCACAGACCTTCCCTGACCCGGCCCTTACAGACCTTCCCTCACAGCCCGTCCCTCACATACCTTCCCTCACAGACCTTCCTTCACAGCCCTTCCCTCACAGACCTTCCATGACCCGGCCCTCACAACCCTTCCCTCACAACCCGTCCCTCACCCCGTCCCTCACGCTCCTTCCCTCACCCCGTCTCTCACAACACTTCCTTCACACCCCGTCCTTCACAACACTTCCTTCACAACCCTTCCCTCATAACCCGTCCCTCACCCCGTCCCTCACGTCCCTTCCCTCACAACACTTCCTTCACAATCCTTCCTTCACAGCACTTCCCTCACAACACTTCGCTCACAACCCGTTCCTCACAACACGTCCCTCACAACCCTTCCCTCACAACACTTCGCTCACCTCATCCCTGATTCCGTCCCTCACCCCGACCCTCAAGTCGCTTCCCACATCCCGTCCTTCACAGCACTTCCTTCACAACCCTTCCCTCAAAACACTTCTCTCACAACCGTTCCCTCTCCCCGTCCCTCACAACCCTTCCCTCACAACCCTTCCCTCTCCCCGTCCCTCACAACACTTCCCTCACAACCCTTCCCTCTCCCCGTCCCTCACAACACTTCTCTCACAACCCTTCCCTCTCCCCGTCCCTCACAACCCTTCCCTCACAACACTTCGCTCACCTCATCCCTGATTCCGTCCCTCACCCCGACCCTCACGTCGCTTCCCACAACCCGTCCTTCACAGCACTTCCTTCACAACCCTTCCTTCACAACACTTCCCTCACAACCTTTCCCTCACAACCCTTCCCTCACAACACTTCCCTCACAATCCTTCCCTCTCCCCGTCCCTCACAACACTTCCCTCACAACCCTCCCCTCTCCCCGTCCCTCTCAACCCTTCCCTCACAGCACTTCCCTCACAACACTTCCCTCACAACCCTTCCCTCACAACACTTCTCTCACAACCCTTCCCTCACAACCCTTCCCTCACAACACTTCGCTCTCCCCGTCCCTCACAACCCTTCCCTCACAGCACTTCTCTCACAACCCTTCTCTCACAACCCTTCCCTCACAACACTTCCCTCACAACACTTCGCTCACAACACTTCCCTCACAACCCTTCCCTCACAGCACTTCCCTCACAACACTTCGCTCACAACACTTCTCTGACAACCCTTCCTTCACAACACTTCCCTCACAACCTTTCCCTCACGACCCTTCCCTCACAACACTTCCCTCACAATCCTTCCCTCTTCCCGTCCCTCACAACACTTCCCTCACAACCCTCCCCTCACAACACTTCCCTCACAACCCTCCCCTCACAGGACCTCCCTCACAACCCTTCCCTCACAACACTTCCCTCAAAACACTTCGCTCACAACCCTTCCCTCACAGCCCTTCTCTCACAACACTTCCCTCAGGGCACTTCTCTCATAACCCTTCCCTCACAACCCTTCCCTCACAACACTTAGCTCACAACACTTCCCTCACCTCATCCCTGATTCCGTCCCTCACCCCGACCCTCAAGTCGCTTCCCACACCCCGTCCTTCACAGCACTTCCTTCACAACCCTTCCCTCAAAACACTTCTCTCACAACCCTTCCCTCACAACCCGTCCCTCTCCCCGTCCCTCACAACACTTTCCTCACAACCCGTCCCTCTCCCCGTCCCTCACAACCCTTCCCTCACAACACTTCTCTCACAACCCTTCCCTCACAACCCGTCCCTCACAACACGTCCCTCACAACCCTTCCCTCACAACACTCCCCTCACCTCATCCCTGATTGCGTCCCTCACCCCGACCCTCACGTCGCTTCCCACACCCCGTCCTTCACAGCACTTCCTTCACAACCCTTCCTTCACAACACTTCCCTCAGAACCTTTCCCTCACAACCCTTCTCTCACAACACTTCCCTCACAACCCTCCCCTCTCCCCGTCCCTCTCAACCCTTCCCTTACAGCACTTCCCTCACAACACTTCCCTCACAACCCTTCCCTCACAACACTTCCCTCACAACACTTCCCTCACAACACTTCCCTCAAAAAACTTCGCTCACAACCCTTCCCTCACAGCCCTTCTCTCACAACACTTCCCTCAGAGCACTTCTCTCACAACCCTTCCCGGACAACCCTTCCCTCACAACACTTCGCTCACAACACTTCCCTCACAACCCTTCCCTCACAGCACTTCCCTCACAACACTTCGCTCACAACACTTCTCTGACAACCCTTCCTTCACAACACTTCCCTCACAACCTTTCCCTCAAAACACTTCCCTCACAATCCTTCCCTCTCCCCGTCCCTCACAACACTTCCCTCACAACCCTCCCCTCACAGCACTTCCCTCACAACCCTTCCCTCACAGCACTTCCCTCACAACACTTCCCTCACAACCCTTCCATCACAACACTTCCCTCAAAACACTTCGCTCACAACACTTCCCTCACAGCCCTTCTCTCACAACACTTCCCTCACAACCCTTCCCTCACAACCCTTCTCTCACAACACTTCCCTCACAACCCTTCCCTCACAACCCTTCTCTCACAACACTTCCCTCACAACACTTCTCTGACAGCACTTCCCTCACAACCCTTCCCTCTCCCTCACAGCAGTTCCTTCACAACCCTTCCCTCACAACCCTTCTCTCACAACCCTTCCCTAACAGCCCTTCTTCTCACAACCCTTCCCTCACAACCCTTCCCTCACAACCCTTCCCTCACAACCCTTCCCTCACAACCCTTCCCTCACAACCCTTCTCTCACAACCCTTCCCTCACAACCCTTCCCTCACAGCCATTCTCTCACAACCCTTCCCTCACAACCCTTCCCACAACCCGTCCCTCTCCCCGTCCCTCTCCCCGTCCCTCACAACACTTCCCTCACAACCCTTCCCTCTCCTCGTCCCTCTCCCCGTCCCTCACAGCACTAACCTCACAACCCTTCCCTAACAGCACTTACCTCACAACCCTTCCCTCCACGCGTACATCACAACACTTCCCTCACAACCCTTCCCTCACAGCTCTTCCCTCACAACACTTCCCTCACAACCCTTCCCTCACAGCTCTTCCCTCACAACACTTCGCTCACAACACTTCTCTGACAGCACTTCCCTCACAACACTTCCCTCACAAAACTTCGCTCACAACACTTCTCTGACAGCACTTCCCTCACAACACTTTCCTCACAACCCTTCCCTCACAGCACTTTCCTCACAACACTTCCCACACAACCCTTCCCTCACAACACTTCGCTCACAACACTTCCCTCACAACCCTTCCCTCACAGCACTTCCCTAACAACACTTCGTTCACAACACTTCTGTGACAGCACTTCCCTCACAACACTTCCCTGACAACACTTCGCTCACAACACTTCTCTGACAGCACTTCCATCACAACACTTCCCTCACAACCCTTCCCTCTCCCCGTCCCTCTCCCCGTCCCTCACAGCGCTTCCCTCACAACCGTTCCCTCACAACCCTTCCCTCACAACCCGTCCCTCAGAACACGTCCCTCACAACACTTCCCTCACCTCATCCTTGATTCCGTCCCTCACCCCGACCCTCACGTCGCTTCCCACACCCCGTCCTTCACAGCACTTCCTCCACAACCCTTCCCTCAAAACACTTCTCTCACAACCCTTCCCTCACAACCCTTCCCTCTCCCCGTCCTTCTCCCCGTCCCTCACAACACTTCCCTCTCCCCGTCCCTCTCCCCGTCCCTCACAACCCTTCCCTCTCCCCGTCCTTCTCCCCGTCCCTCACAACCCTTCCCTCTCCCCGTCCTTCTCCCCGTCCCTCACAACCCTTCCCTCTCCCCGTCCTTCTCCCGTCCCTCACAACCCTTCCCTCTCCCCGTCCCTCACAACACTTCCCTTACAACACTTCGTTGACAACTCTTCGCTCACAACACTTCCCTCACAACCCTTCCCTCACAACACTTGACTCACAACACTTCTCTGACAACACTTTTCTCGCAACACTTCCCTCACAACACTTCGCTCACAACACTTCTCTGACAGCACTTCCCTCACAACACTTCTCGCACAACCCTTCCCTCTCCCCGTCCCTAACAGCACTTCCCTCACAACCCTTCCCTCTCCCCGTCCCTCACAACACTTCCCTCACAACCCTTCCCTCTCCCCGTCCCTCACAACACTTCGTTGACAACACTTCGCTCACAACACTTCCCTCACAACCCTTCCTTCACAACACTTCGCTCACAACATTTCTCTGACAACACTTCCCTCGCAACACTTCCCTCACAACACTTCGCTCACAACACTTCTCTGACAGCACTTCCCTCACAACACTTCCCTCACAACACTTCCCTCTCCCCGTCCCTCTCCCCGTCCGTCACAGCACTTCCCTCACAACCGTTCCCTCACAACCCTTCCCTCACAACACTTCCTTCACATCCCTTCCCTCACAACACTTCCCTCACAACCCTTCTCTCACAGCCCTTCCCTCACAACCCTTCCCTCACAACCCTTCTCTCACAACACTTCCCTCACAACCCTTCCCTCACAACCATTCTCTCACAACACTTCCCTCACAACACTTCTCTGACAGCACTTCCCTCACAACCCTTCCCTCTCCCTCACAGCAGTTCCTTCACAACCCTTCCCTCACAACCCTTCTCTCACAACCCTTCCCTCACAGCCCTTCTCTCACAACCCTTCCCTCACAACCCTTCCCTCTCCCCGTCCCTCTCCCCGTCCCTCACAACACTTCTCTCACAACCTTTCCCTCACAACCCTTCCCTTTCCCCATCCCTCTCCCCGCCCCTCACAGCACTAACCTCACAACCCTTCCCTCACAACCCTTCCCTCACAACACTTCGCTCTCCCCGTCCCTCACAACCCTTCCCTCACAGCACTTCTCTCACAACCCTTCTCTCACAACCCTTCCCTCACAACACTTCCCTCACAACACTTCGCTCACAACACTACCCTCACAACCCTTCCCTCACAGCACTTCCCTCACAACACTTCGCTCACAACACTTATCTGACAACCCTTCCTTCACAACACTTCCCTCACAACCTTTCCCTCACAACCCTTCCCTCACAACACTTCCCTCACAATCCTTCCCTCTCCCCGTCCCTCACAACACTTCCCTCACAACCCTCCCCTCACAACACTTCCCTCACAACCCTCCCCTCACAGGACCTCCCTCACAACCCTTCCCTCACAACACTTCCCTCAAAACACTTCGCTCACAACCCTTCCCTCACAGCCCTTCTCTCACAACACTTCCCTCAGGGCACTTCTCTCATAACCCTTCCCTCACAACCCTTCCCTCACAACACTTAGCTCACAACACTTCCCTCACCTCATCCCTGATTCCGTCCCTCACCCCGACCCTCAAGTCGCTTCCCACACCCCGTCCTTCACAGCACTTCCTTCACAACCCTTCCCTCAAAACACTTCATTCACAACCCTTCCCTCACAACCCGTCCCTCTCCCCGTCCCTCACAACACTTTCCTCACAACCCGTCCCTCTCCCCGTCCCTCACAACCCTTCCCTCACAACACTTCTCTCACAACCCTTCCCTCACAACCCGTCCCTCACAACACGTCCCTCACAACCCTTCCCTCACAACACTCCCCTCACCTCATCCCTGATTGCGTCCCTCACCCCGACCCTCACGTCGCTTCCCACACCCCGTCCTTCACAGCACTTCCTTCAGAACCCTTCCTTCACAACACTTCCCTCAGAACCTTTCCCTCACAACCCTTCTCTCACAACACTTCCCTCACAACCCTCCCCTCTCCCCGTCCCTCTCAACCCTTCCCTTACAGCACTTCCCTCACAACACTTCCCTCACAACCCTTCCCTCACAACACTTCCCTCACAACACTTCCCTCACAACACTTCCCTCAAAAAACTTCGCTCACAACCCTTCCCTCACAGCCCTTCTCTCACAACACTTCCCTCAGAGCACTTCTCTCACAACCCTTCCCGGACAACCCTTCCCTCACAACACTTCGCTCACAACACTTCCCTCACAACCCTTCCCTCACAGCACTTCCCGCACAACACTTCGCTCACACTTCTCTGACAACCCTTCCTTCACAACACTTCCCTCACAACCTTTCCCTCAAAACACTTCCCTCACAATCCTTCCCTCTCCCCGTCCCTCACAACACTTCCCTCACAACCCTCCCCTCACAGCACTTCCCTCACAACCCTTCCCTCACAGCACTTCCCTCACAACACTTCCCTCACAACCCTTCCATCACAACACTTCCCTCAAAACACTTCGCTCACAACACTTCCCTCACAGCCCTTCTCTCACAACACTTCCCTCACAACCCTTCCCTCACAACCCTTCTCTCACAACACTTCCCTCACAACCCTTCCCTCACAACCCTTCTCTCACAACACTTCCCTCACAACCCTCCCCTCACAACACTTCCCTCACAACCCTTCCATCACAACACTTCCCTCAAAACACTTCGCTCACAACACTTCCCTCACAGCCCTTCTCTCACAACACTTCCCTCACAACCCTTCCCTCACAACCCTTCTCTCACAACACTTCCCTCACAACCCTTCCCTCACAACCCTTCTCTCACAACACTTCCCTCACAACACTTCTCTGACAGCACTTCCCTCACAACCCTTCCCTCTCCCTCACAGCAGTTCCTTCACAACCCTTCCCTCACAACCCTTCTCTCACAACCCTTCCCTAACAGCCCTTCCCTCACAACCCTTCCCTCACAACCCTTCCCTCACAACCCTTCCCTCACAACCCTTCTCTCACAACCCTTCCCTCACAACCCTTCCCTCACAGCCATTCTCTCACAACCCTTCCCTCACAACCCTTCCCACAACCCGTCCCTCTCCCCGTCCCTCTCCCTCACATCAGTTCCTTCACAACCCTTCCCTCACAACCCTTCTCTCACAACCCTTCCCTAACAGCCCTTCTCTCACAACCCTTCCCTCACAACCCTTCCCTCACAACCCTTCTCTCACAACCCTTCCCTCACAACCCTTCCCTCACAGCCATTCTCTCACAACCCTTCCCTCACAACCCTTCCCACAACCCGTCCCTCTCCCCGTCCCTCTCCCCGTCCCTCACAACACTTCCCTCACAACCCTTCCCTCTCCTCGTCCCTCTCCCCGTCCCTCACAGCACTAACCTCACAACCCTTCCCTAACAGCACTTACCTCACAACCCTTCCCTCCACGCGTACATCACAACACTTCCCTCACAACCCTTCCCTCACAGCTCTTCCCTCACAACACTTCCCTCACAACCCTTCCCTCACAGCTCTTCCCTCACAACACTTCGCTCACAACACTTCTCTGACAGCACTTCCCTCACAACACTTCCCTCACAAAACTTCGCTCACAACACTTCTCTGACAGCACTTCCCTCACAACACTTTCCTCACAACCCTTCCCTCACAGCACTTCCCTCACAACACTTCGCTCACAACACTTCCCTCACAACCCTTCCCTCACAGCACTTCCCTCACAACACTTCGTTCACAACACTTCTCTGACAGCACTTCCCTCACAACACTTCCCTCACAAAACTTCGCTCACAACACTTCTCTGACAGCACTTCCCTCACAACACTTTCCTCACAACCCTTCCCTCACAGCACTTCCCTCACAACACTTCCCACACAACCCTTCCCTCACAACACTTCGCTCACAACACTTCCCTCACAACCCTTCCCTCACAGCACTTCCCTCACAACACTTCGCTCACAACACTTCCCTCACAACCCTTCCCTCACAGCACTTCCCTCACAACACTTCGTTCACAACATTTCTCTGACAACACTTCCCTCGCAACACTTCCCTCACAACACTTCGCTCACAACACTTCCCTCACAACACTTCTCTGACAGCACTTCCCTCACAACCCTTCCCCCTCCCTCACAGCAGTTCCTTCACAACCCTTCCCTCACAACCCTTCTCTCACAACCCTTCCCTCACAGCCCTTCTCTCACAACCCTTCCCTCACAACCCTTCCCTCTCCCCGTCCCTCTCCCCGTCCCTCACAACACTTCTCTCACAACCTTTCCCTCACAACCCTTCCCTTTCCCCATCCCTCTCCCCGCCCCTCACAGCACTAACCTCACAACCCTTCCCTCACAACCCTTCCCTCACAACACTTCGCTCTCCCCGTCCCTCACAACCCTTCCCTCACAGCACTTCTCTCACAACCCTTCTCTCACAACCCTTCCCTCACAACACTTCCCTCACAACACTTCGCTCACAACACTTCCCTCACAACCCTTCCCTCACAGCACTTCCCTCACAACACTTCGCTCACAACACTTATCTGACAACCCTTCCTTCACAACACTTCCCTCACAACCTTTCCCTCACAACCCTTCCCTCACAACACTTCCCTCACAATCCTTCCCTCTCCCCGTCCCTCACAACACTTCCCTCACAACCCTCCCCTCACAACACTTCCCTCACAACCCTCCCCTCACAGGACCTCCCTCACAACCCTTCCCTCACAACACTTCCCTCAAAACACTTCGCTCACAACCCTTCCCTCACAGCCCTTCTCTCACAACACTTCACTCAGGGCACTTCTCTCATAACCCTTCCCTCACAACCCTTCCCTCACAACACTTAGCTCACAACACTTCCCTCACCTGATCCCTGATTCCGTCCCTCACCCCGACCCTCAAGTCGCTTCCCACACCCCGTCCTTCACAGCACTTCCTTCACAACCCTTCCCTCAAAACACTTCTCTCACAACCCTTCTCTCACAACCCTTCCCTCACAACCCGTCCCTCACAACACGTCCCTCACAACCCTTCCCTCACAACACTCCCCTCACCTCATCCCTGATTGCGTCCCTCACCCCGACCCTCACGTCGCTTCCCACACCCCGTCCTTCACAGCACTTCCTTCACAACACTTCCCTCACAACCTTTCCCTCACAACCCTTCTCTCACAACACTTCCCTCACAACCCTCCCCTCTCCCCGTCCCTCTCAACCCTTCCCTCACAGCACTTCCCTCACAACACTTCCCTCACAACCCTTCCCTCACAACCCTTCCCTCACAACACTTCCCTCACAACACTTCCCTCAAAAAACTTCGCTCACAACCCTTCCCTCTAGGCCCTTCTCTCACAACACTTCCCTCAGAGCACTTCTCTCACAACCCTTCCCGGACAACCCTTCCCTCACAACACTTCGCTCACAACACTTCCCTCACAACCCTTCCCTCACAGCACTTCCCTCACAACACTTCGCTCACAACACTTCTCTGACAACCCTTCCTTCACAACACTTCCCTCACAACCTTTCCCTCAAAACACTTCCCTCACAATCCTTCCCTCTCCCCGTCCCTCACAACACTTCCCTCACAACCCTCCCCTCACAGCACTTCCCTCACAACCCTTCCCTCACAGCACTTCCCTCACAACACTTCCCTCACAACCCTTCCCTCACAACACTTCCCTCAAAACACTTCGCTCACAACACTTCCCTCACAGCACTTCCCTCACAACACTTCCCTCACAACCCTTCCCTCACAACCCTTCTCTCACAACACTTCCCTCACAACACTTCTCTGACAGCTCTTCCCTCACAACCCTTCCCTCTCCCTCACAGCAGTTCCTTCACAACCCTTCCCTCACAACCCTTCTCTCACAACCCTTCCCTAACAGCCCTTCTCTCACAACCCTTCCCTCACAACCCTTCCCTCACAACCCTTCCCTCACAACCCTTCCCTCACAACCCTTCCCTCACAACCCTTCCCTCACAACCCTTCTCTCACAACCCTTCCCTCACAACCCTTCCCTCACAGCCATTCTCTCACAACCCTTCCCTCACAACCCTTCCCACAACCCGTCCCTCTCCACGTCCCTCTCCCCGTCCCTCACAACACTTCCCTCACAACCCTTCCCTCTCCTCGTCCCTCTCCCCGTCCCTCACAGCACTAACCTCACAACCCTTCCCTAACAGCACTTACCTCACAACCCTTCCCTCCACGCGTACATCACAACCCTTCCCTCACAGCTCTTCCCTCACAACACTTCGCTCACAACACTTCTCTGACAGCACTTCCCTCACAACACTTCCCTCACAAAACTTCGCTCACAACACTTCTCTGACAGCACTTCCCTCACAACACTTTCCTGACAACCCTTCCCTCACAGCACTTCCCTCACAACACTTCCCACACAACCCTTCCCATACAACACTTCGCTCACAACACTTCCCTCACAACCCTTCCCTCACAGCACTTCCCTAACAACACTTCGTTCACAACACTTCTGTGACAGCACTTCCCTCACAACACTTCCCTGACAACACTTCGCTCACAACACTTCTCTGACAGCACTTCCCTCACAACACTTCCCTCACAACCCTTCCCTCTCCCCGTCCCTCTCCCCGTCCCTCACAGCGCTTCCCTCACAACCGTTCCCTCACAACCCTTCCCTCACAACCCGTCCCTCAGAACACGTCCCTCACAACACTTCCCTCACCTCATCCTTGATTCCGTCCCTCACCCCGACCCTCACGTCGCTTCCCACACCCCGTCCTTCACAGCACTTCCTCCACAACCCTTCCCTCAAAACACTTCTCTCACAACCCTTCCCTCACAACCCTTCCCTCTCCCCGTCCTTCTCCCCGTCCCTCACAACACTTCCCTCTCCCCGTCCCTCTCCCCGTCCCTCACAACCCTTCCCTCTCCCCGTCCTTCTCCCCGTCCCTCACAACCCTTCCCTCTCCCCGTCCTTCTCCGCGTCCCTCACAACCCTTCCCTCTCCCCGTCCTTCTCCCCGTCCCTCACAACCCTTCCCTCTCCCCGTCCCTCTCCCCGTCCCTCTCCCCGTCCCTCACAACACTTCCCTTACAACACTTCGTTGACAACTCTTCGCTCACAACACTTCCCTCACAACCCTTCCCTCACAACACTTGACTCACAACACTTCTCTGACAACACTTTTCTCGCAACACTTCCCTCACAACACTTCGCTCACAACACTTCTCTGACAGCACTTCCCTCACAACACTTCCCGCACAACCCTTCCCTCTCCCCGTCCCTAACAGCACTTCCCTCACAACCCTTCCCTCTCCCCGTCCCTCACAACCCTTCCCTCACAACCCTTCCCTCTCCCCGTCCCTCACAACACTTCGTTGACAACACTTCGCTCACAACACTTCCCTCACAACCCTTCCTTCACAACACTTCGCTCACAACATTTCTCTGACAACACTTCCCTCGCAACACTTCCCTCACAACACTTCGCTCACAACACTTCTCTGACAGCACTTCCCTCACAACACTTCCCTCACAACACTTCCCTCTCCCCGTCCGTCACAGCACTTCCCTCACAACCGTTCCCTCACAACCCTTCCCTCACAACACTTCCTTCACATCCCTTCCCTCACAACACTTCCCTCACAACACTTCGCTAACAACCCTTCCCTCACAACCCTTCTCTCACAGCCCTTCCCTCACAACCCTTCCCTCACAACCCTTCTCTCACAACACTTCCCTCACAACCCTTCCCTCACAACCCTTCTCTCACAACACTTCCCTCACAACACTTCTCTGACAGCACTTCCCTCACAACCCTTCCCTCTCCCTCACAGCAGTTCCTTCACAACCCTTCCCTCACAACCCTTCTCTCACAACCCTTCCCTCACAGCCCTTCTCTCACAACCCTTCCCTCACAACCCTTCCCTCTCCCCGTCCCTCTCCCCGTCCCTCACAACACTTCTCTCACAACCTTTCCCTCACAACCCTTCCCTTTCCCCATCCCTCTCCCCGTCCCTCACAGCACTAACCTCACAACCCTTCCCTCACAGCACTTCCCTCACAACCCTTCACTCTGCCCGTCCCTCACAGCACTTACCTCACAACCCGTTCCTCACAGCACTTCCCTCACAACACTTCTCTCACAGCACTTCCCTCACAACACTTACCTCACAACCCTTCCCTCACAACCCTTCCCTCTCCCCGCCCCCACAAAACTCCCTTCACAACCCTTTCCTCACAACCCTTCCCTCTCCCCGGCCCTCAAAACACTTCCTTCACAACCCTTCCCTCACAACCCTTCCCTCACAACCCCTTTCCTCTCAGCCCTTCTCTCACAACCCTTCCCTCTCACCCCGTCTCTCACAACAGTTCCCTCACGTCCCTTCCCTCCCCGCGTACATCACAACACTTCCCTCACAACCCTTTCCTCACAGGCCTTCCCTGACCCCGTCCCTCACATCACTTCCCTCACAGCCCTTCCCTCACAGCCCTTCCCTCACAACCCTTCCCTCACAACCCTTCCCTCACACAACGACTGTTTGGCTCGGAAGCATTAAAACTGTGTCTGAGTCGGTTTTTCATGTTAAGCTGGGTATGGTATATCTGTGGGCAAACACTATAAAATCAGTATTATTCTGGACGAGTACAAGCAGCCACACACACGCATGCATGCACGTCGCTATTTAAGTGCAATAATCTTGAACGCAAACACTTAAACTCAGCGCTATTGGTAATTATAATTTGAAAAGTCCGAGATCTTCCGATGCCGGCAATTGAACAGCGGAGGTCTTCTGAAAATAGTGTGTTACCATTATTATTGCTGGGCTGAACAGAATTTGTCCCTTTGTGAGATAATATTCCCCAAACAACTTAATTCAATGAAACAGTAACATTTGGTACGCAGCTGTTTTGACACTAAAAGTCGCGTGTCGACATTCATCCATGACCTTCTATTTCGCAACACGCACGCACGCACGTGCGTGTCCAGCTCTTGTTTTACCACCTTTTATGGTCTTTTGGTATGATGCGGTCGAGGATCGAACCAACGACCTTGCATTCAATCCATCTTATTGACCACGGAGTCGGTATGACTCTAAAAGTACATTTGACCAGCTTTAGTGGCAGAAATATCAGTGTGATTGTCATTTCATTGCGACATCATGGTGTTTGAGGAAATAAAAAGCGGAGAGCTGAACGGCCCTTCTGGAGGCATTGACTGTATGTCGATTTAAGGTCCACGTTACACCCTCTATAAATAGTTATATATCACGATATAAGGTCAATGTTACACCTTCCATAAACACTTATATATCACGATAAAAGGTCCACGTCACACCTTCAATAAACAGTTATATATCATGATAAAAACTCCATGTTACACCTTCCATAAACAGCTATACATCACGATAAAAGGTCCATGTTACACCTTCAATAAACAGTTATATATCATGATAAAAGGTCCATGTTACACCTTTCATAAACAGTTATATATCACGATAAAAGGTCCATGATACACCTACCATAAACAGTTATATATCACGATAAAAGGTCCATGTTACACCTTCAATAGACAGTTATAAATCACGATAAAAGGTCCATGTTACACCTTCAATAAACAGTTATATATCACGATAAAAGGTCCATGTTACATCTTCCATAAACAGTTATATATCACGATAAAAGGTCCATGTTACACCTTCAATAAACTGTTATATATCACGATAAAAGGTCCACGTTACACCTTCCATAAACAGTTATATATCACGATAAAAGGTCCATGTTACACCCTCCATAAATAGTTTTATATCACGATATTAGGTCAGTTTTACACCTCCCATAAACAGTTATATATTACGATAAAAGGTCCACGTTAGACCTTCCATAAACAGTTATATGTTACGATAAAAGGTCCATGTTACAACCTCCATAAATAGTTATATATCACGATATAAGGTCAGTTTTACACCTCCCATAAACAGTTATATATCACGATAAAGGGTCCACGTTACACCTTCCATAAACAGTTATATATCACGATAAAAGGTCCATGTTACACCTTCAATAAATAGTTATATATCACGATATAAGGTCCATGTTACACCTTCAATAAACAGTTATATATCATGATATATTTTGACGCCTAAACTTAAGTCAGAGATCGACACTTTATTTTTTTCTTTCCTTTCTCAAGGTCCAGATTAATCCCTGTGGATACGAGGTCTGCAATCTGACTTCCCGATCTGTGATGGATGGATGTAAACACGTCTGTCTGGAAGGTTTGTGTCTATAAATTATTTCACTAGAGCTAGAGTGGGGTTTACAAACCTTGACCATCGATCAAAAACCTTATTTAAAAAAGCAGTTATGTTCATGTCCGGCGGATTTATGTCCAACTGATTTATGTCCAGCTGATTTATGTCCGGCTGATTTATGTCAAGCTGATTTATGTCAAGCTTTTTGTCCAGCTAATTTATGTCCAGCTGATTTATGTCCGGCTGATTTATGTCAAGCTGATTTATGTCAAGCTTTTTGTCCAGCTAATTTATGTCAAGCCGATTTATGTCCAGCTGATCGATGTTCGGCTGATTTATGTGCACCTAATTTATGTCCAGCTGATTTATGTCCAGCTGATTTATGTCCAACTGATTTATGTCAAGCTCATCGATGTTCAGCTGATTTATGTGCACCTAATTTATGTCCAGCTGATTTATGTCCAGCTGATTTATGTCCAATTGATTTATGTCAACCTTTTTGTCCAGCTAATTTATGTCAAGCCGATTTATGCCCAGCTGATCGATGATCGGCTGATTTATGTGCACCTAATTTATGTCCAGCTGATTTATGTCCAGCTGATTTATGTCCAACTGATTTATGTCAAGCTTTTTGTTCAGCTATTTTATGTCAAGCCGATTTATGTGCAGCTGATCGATGTTCGGCTGATTTATGTGCACCTAATTTATGTCCAGCTGATTTATGTCAGGCTGATTTATGTCCAGCTGGTTTATGTCTGGCTGATTTATGTCCAGCAGATTTATGTCAAGCTGATCGATGTTCGGCTGATTTATGTCCAACTAATTTATGTCAGGCTGATTTATGTCAAGCTGATGTATGTCAAGCTTTGTGTCAAGCTGATTTATATCTAGCTGACTTACTGTCTGCGTGTTCTGACAAGGCGTTGTTCTGACGTTGATTAATGTATAAATTATCAGTGACATACTTGCACATTAAGTTTCCAGTGCATCTAGGGTAATTAGCCTTTGGAATTCAATGTTCATTCAGAAAATTGTTGTCGTAAATAAATCGATATGACAGTTGTGGGACAGTCACCATTAATTATTATTAATCATCATGTATTTATTCCCAATTTTCTCTCACAATAACTCACTTTGTCACTATTAGTAACTGTATTGTGTACAGTCTGTGTAACAATATCCTTTAATTGCATGGAAAACTGCCAGAGACATAGACGTAGTCATAGAGAGGCAAGATCCTCGGTTTTGACCCTGATACAGGAAGCTATCGAATGTTAATGTTACAAGTTTCTCTTACATTTCTGTTTATGGATGTCCATGACAACATTATATTTGTGTCATCTTTGATATATAATAAGGCTTGTTATATGTTCTATAGTCAACCCTTATGTTACCTTTCAAATAAGATGTGGGGGCACGGGTGGCCCAGTCGTTTAAGGCGCCGCGATTCGCTGTGCAGAGTTGCGTCCCTTGTGCACACCAGAAACCTATGATTATGGGTTCGAATCCCGGTTCGCCCCGATTGTGTTTCTGGTTTGTCAGCACCATACCAGTGCTCATGGGTTTCACTGAAGTGGTAAACGTCTGAGGCCTGCATAACTTCGGGCTTTCCTCCCTAATTAAGCTGACACGCCGCGATATAACTTGAATACTGTAAAGAGCAGCGTTAAACCTTACTCACTCACTCACTCAAATAAGATGTAAATCATTATCAACCGTGGTGTATTCATGTTAAACTGCGGCATGTCAGTGAGCACTATACATCAGCATCAGTCCGGAATACTACAAGCTGCCACACACACACACGGGCATGTACGTCGCTATGTAAGTGCAATAATCTTGGAGGCGATGTTAAACCCAATTTCACCTCATCTCAACTCACCACCTTTCGGATCAGACGTAAATCATAAATACCAAGAACAACGTATTAACTTCTGGAAAACGACAATGGAAAGCTTACGAGAGCAAACATATGAATTGCGAATACTGTACAGTGATATCGTAAGATAACAGTTATTGCACAAATAGTAAACTCCTAGTCACCATTAGAACGAACATACAGTAAACTACAGTTATAATGAACTTAAAGGGTCCACTGATTTTAGTTCGTTTTAACTGAAGATCGTTATGAGGATATATATAACACAGATACAGCAAACAGGCGGAGGTTCATATTAAGAACCTTTTTATTTCCATATGGATTTATTTGGCAGTCTCAATACATTGGTAGCATCATATCATATAAGGCGGTCTTCAAAAATAAATGTTATGATGGCTTCTTTCATTTTGACATCACTCCCTCGTCTCTTCGTCACCTCCTCGTCTCTTTATCTCTCCCCCGTCTCTTAAACACTCACTCGTCTCTTCTTTACTCCCTCGTCTCTTCATGACTTTCTCGTCTCTTTATCACTCCCTCGTCTCATCATCACTTTCTCGTCTCTTTATGACTCCCTCCTCTCTTCATCACTTTCTCGTCACTTCATGACTCCCTCGTCTCTTCATGACTCCCTCGTCTCTTCATCACTCCCTCGTCTCTTCATCACTCCTCGTCTCTTCATTACTCCCTCGTCTCTTCATTACTCCCTCGTCTCTTCATCACTCTCTCGTCTCTTCATCACTCCCTCGTCTCTTAAACACTCACTCGTCTCTTCTTTACTCCCTCGTCTCTTCATGACTTTCTCGTCACTTTATCACTCCCTCGTCTCATCATCACTTTCTCGTCTCTTTATGACTCCCTCCTCTCTTCATCACTCCCTCGTCTCTTCATTACTCCCTCGTCTCTTCATCACTACCTCGTCTCTTCATGACTCCCTCGTCTCCTCATCACTCCCTCGTCTCTTCATCACTCCCTCGTCTCTTAAACACTCACTCGTCTCTTCTTTACTCCCTCGTCTCTTCTTTACTCCCTCGTCTCCTCATCACTCCCTCGTCTCTTCATCACTCCCTCGTCTCTTAAACACTCACTCGTCTCTTCTTTACTCCCTCGTCTCTTCTTTACTCCCTCGTCTCTTCATGACTTTCTCGTCTCTTTATCACTCCCTCGTCTCATCATCACTTTCTCGTCTCTTTATGACTCCCTCCTCTCTTCATCACTTTCTCGTCACTTCATGACTCCCTCGTCACTTCATGACTCCCTCGTCTCTTCATGACTTCCCCGTCTCTTCATGACTTCCTCGTCTCTTCATCACTACCTCGTCTCTTCATCACTTTCTCGTCACTTCATGACTCCCTCGTCTCTTCATCACTCCCTCGTCTCTTCATGACTCCCCCATCTCTTCATCACTCCCTCGTCTCTTCATCACTCCCTCGTCTCTTCATCACTCCCTCGTCTCTTCATGGCTTCCTCGTCTCTTCATCACTCCGTCTCTTCATCACTCCCTCGTCTCTTCATCACTTTACCGTCTCCTTATCAGTCCCTCGTCTCTTCATGATTCCCTCGTCTCTTCATCACTCCCTCGTCTCTTCATGACTCCCTCGTCTCTTCATGGCTTCCCCGTCTCTTTATCACTCCGTCTCTTCATCACTCCCTCGTCTCTTCATCACTTTCTCGTCACTTCATGACTCCCTCGTCTCTTCATCACTCCCTCGTCCTTTCATGGCTTCCTCGTCTCTTCATCACTCCGTCTCTTCATCATTCCCTCGTCTCTTCATCACTTTACCGTCTACTTATCAGTCCCTCGTCTCTTCATCACTCCCTCGTCCCTTCATCACTCCCTCGTCCTTTCATGGCTTCCTCGTCTCTTCATCACTCCGTCTCTTCATCACTCCCTCGTCTCTTCATCACTTTACCGTCTCCTTATCAGTCCCTCGTCTCTTCATGACTCCCTCGTCTCTTCATCACTACCTCGTCTCTTCATGGCTTCCCCGTCTCTTCATCACTCCGTCTCTTCATCACTCCCTCGTCTCTTCATCACTTTCTCGTCACTTCATGACTCCCTCGTCTCTTCATCACTCCCTCGTCCTTTCATGGCTTCCTCGTCTCTTCATCACTCCCTCGTCTCTTCATCACTTTACCGTCTCCTTATCAGTCCCTCGTCTCTTCATCACTCCGTCGTCTCTTCATCACTCCCTCGTCTGTGTTTGTAATGTGAACAGCATACATTAATTGTTTAGCTACCACGTGCTCACTAGAATACTGATTGTAACGGTACAATGCCTAGGCTTGATGAAACCAACGTATGCGCACTGTGGAATGCTGCAAACAGGAATGGCGAAAAACCAAGTTGGCGGACAATTCAAAACACAATATTATCTCTCAACAAGTGATAAACAAGTAAACAACAACATTCAGTCGTTGCACCTACGGAATCAGTACCAAACTGCCACACCACCAGCTCGGAAAATGCCTGGGTTGAGAACGATCAGTAGCAGAAATATACACAACCTGTTGAGGGAGCAAAATATCAGCCCGATGTCAAGCAATTCGCCCAATTTTTCTTTCATGTCTAGTTTGATGTATACAGCGTCCAGGAGAAAGTCAGTTTGAGGGTAACAGTGTGATGGTATTGTGAGGCATCAACCTTCATGGGAGAACTCATCATTGTTAATGGTAATTTAAACGCTACCAGGATCATTTGGTTCCAGGTCCCACTTGCAAAAAGCGATCTTAGCGCTACAACTACCGCAAGCCTATGTTAAAGCATGGGAGTTACGATCATCTTAGCGCTAAGATCGCTTTGTGCAAGTGGGCCCTGATCATGTTCTCCCCTCTGTTCGAGTGGAGGGACGTAATGTCACATCGCAGCAAGATAATGCAAGTCCAAAACATTGAACGTGTTGTAACAGACTGTAAGAGAAAGCATAACATTGCTGTACTGCCATGGCAGGCTGTTTACCCTGACCTCTTCCTCATAGAACATGTCTGGAAAGAGATAGAAAGACCCCCAAGACAGCACCAGAACCAGCCGCTAACACTACTTCAGCTGGGCTTAACATGCCCACGCCGTTTTCAATCAGCTATTGTCTTCAATGCTATGACTCAGCCTTACCTGTATCAACAGAAATGGTGGACGCACCCGATATTGACACTCTTAATTGAGATGTTACACCACCCCTCTTTTAGGGGTGTCTCCTGTTACCAGGTTTGGGTTTTGTCAACAAATGTGTTATAATAAACCATTGATCAGACAAATGCCAAAATATTATGCTCTTGTGTTGAACAACATAACATGTACATCACTCTATATGATGCACAGTACTTTTTTTCTGTAAGTATACATGTACAAATTGTATAATCGAAAGGAACACCTAACGTCTGTTCATTATTTGACTGAAGATACCGAGATGTTCTGACCCATAATAGACTTACTTGCTTCTTCGGGATATTTGTGTGTCAGGTTCTGGTAGTTGTCAGACTCTTTGAGGGAGCAAATGGTGACGTCTGAGAAAGTGACTGGACAATTGTTTGCGCTGATCAGATACTGTCAGTTCGAAGGAGGGAGGCCTCAGTTTGCAACAATTGTATTTGTAGTTAATATGTACAAACATAAGAGCAAATAGCCAATAACGACTATCTACTGGGAATACATTACAACGTCTCATTCTAAACAATAATGCAAGGCCTCTATATGGGTGGAAGGTAAGGTGGTGAAGTGAAATTGAAAGACCAGTTCCAGATTGTTGCACTTGCATACAGACGTGCATGCACCTGTGCATGCACCTGACTGTACTAGTCCACACTATTTTTTTTATAGTGCTAGCACACTAAAATACCATCGCTTTCTCGCCATCATATGATGTCCTGCAACATCAATCTTGTACCTCTCAATATGATGTCCAAGATGTGTATCGAGTAAAACTTTGTGTTACAGTGCCATCGTTCTGCGACCTCCATAGTGCCTCCGAGATGGGAAACCTGTCAAGGGTGAAAGTCATCTTGTCCCAGAGAGGGACGGACATTAATTGTAACGAGTGGATTGGTAGGACACCGGTGATGTGGGCAGCTGGTAGTGGACATAGAGAGGTGGTTGAATTACTTGTGAGTAAAGGAGCTAATGAGTCAATCGTCGATAGATTCGATAACAACATCCTTCACTCCGCCGGTCGGGGAGGAGATGTAGAGGTTGTGCAGTATGTCCTTTCACATGACTTGGTGGATATCAATGTTAGAGGAAGTTGCAGGAGAACACCGGTCATGGTGGCAGCAGAGAATGGACATAGAGAAATTGTTAAGCTACTTGTGGATAAAGGTGGTGACATGTCACTCGTGGATGAAAAAAATGACAACATCCTTCACTTGGCCTGTTTATGTGGACAGAAGGAGGTTGTGAAGTATGTCCTCTCACAGGACATAGTTGACATCAATGGCAGAGGACGGCAGACAACGACACCTGTTATGCTGGCAGCAAGAAACGGACACAAAGAAGTGGTAGAGTTACTCGTTAAAAAAGGAGCTGATTTGTCACTAGCATATAATACTCCTGGAAGCAACGTCCTTCACTTGGCCTGTTTTTATGGCCATGTGGATGTGGTGAAGTATTTGCTCTCACAGGACACAGTGGACGTTAACAGCAGAGGACGGTACAAGCAAACACCGATGATGAGGGCAGCAAAAAACGGACACAAAGAAGTTGTAGAGTTACTCGTAAAAAAAGGAGCTGATTTGTCACTAGCATATAATGCTGATGGTAGCAACGTCCTTCACTTGGCCTGTGTTAATGGACATGTGGATGTTGTGAAGTATTTGCTCTCACAGGACACAGTAAACATCAACAGCAGAGGATGGAGGAAGCGGACGCCAATGATGAGGGCAGCAGAAGAAGGATATAAAGAAGTAGTAGAGTTACTCGTAAGTAAAGGAGCTGATGCGTCACTCGTGGATAAAAGAGGTAACAATCTCCTTCACTTAGCCTGTCAGAGGGGACAGATGGAGCTAGTGAAGTATATCGTCTCACAGGACATGGTGGACATTAACAGGAGAGGATTGAAGAAGCGATCACCGGTGATGATTGCAGCAGAAAGCGGACATAAAGAAGTGGTAGAGTTACTCGTAAATAAAGGAGCTGATGCGTCACTCATGGATAAAAAAGGTAACAACATCCTTCACTTAGCCTGTCAGATGGGACATGTGGAGGTGGTCAAGTATGTCCTCTCACAGGACATAGTGGACATCAACAGCAGAGGATGGAAGACGAAGACACCAATGATGATGGCAGCAGAAGAAGGACATAAAGAAGTAGTTGAGTTACTCTTAAATAAAGGAACTGATCCGTCACTCGTGGATAAAAGAGGTAACAACATCCTTCACTTAGCCTGTCAGAATGGACAGATGGAGGTGGTCAAGTATATCGTCTCCAAAGTTATTGTGGACGTCAACGCCAAAAACAAGAGACGTAAAACAGCAGCCAACATAGCATCATCGCAGGGACGAGAAGACTTGATAGATCTTCTTGTGTCACATGGTGCTCACATGTCCTAGGTGAAATGTTTGTACAGACATTCATATTCTTACCGACATTGACAAATTGAATACAATCAGACATTGGCGTGTTGAATGCATGTACATGTTACAACATTGACATGTTAAATATATTCATGTTGTTACAGACATTAACTCGTTGAATACATTCGTTTTGTTGCAGACATCGATGTGTTGAATAGCTTCTTCACTTCTCCCCGAAACATGTAGAACAAACCGTGTCGTGTAATTATTTTGTGAATTTGTTTACATAAGTGCTACTGTAGACCAGAGACCCTTACCACTTTATTGCTACACACACACACACACACACACACACACACACACACTCACACACACACACATTCTCATCAGTAGTTGTTGCAATGGATGACTGAGGCTTTCTCATAAGTATTTGTTGTAATGGGTGACTAAGACTTTCTCATCAGTATTTGTTGTAATGAATGACTGAAACTTTCTCATCAGTGTTTGTTGTAATGGATGACAAAGACTTTCTCATCAGTATTTGTTGTAATGGATGACAAAGACTTTCTCATCGGTAGCTGTTGTAATGGATGTTTGAGACTTTCTCATCAGTGTTTGTTGTAATGGATGACAAAGACTTTCTCATCAGTGTTTGTTGTAATGGATGCCAAAGACTTTCTCATCAGTGTTTGTTGTAATGGATGACTGAGACTCTCTCATCAGTATTTGTTGTAATGGGTAACAAAGACTTTCTCATCAGTGTTTGTTGTAATGGGTAACAAAGACTTTCTCATCAGTATTTGTTGTAATGGGTAACAAAGACTTTCTCATCAGTATTTGTTGTAATGGATGCCAAAGACTTTCTCATCAGTGTTTGTTGTAATGGATGACTGAGACTTTCTCATCAGTATTTGTTGTAATGGGTAACAAAGACTTTCTCATCAGTATTTGTTGTAATGGGTGACTGAGACTTTCTCATCAGTTTTTGTTGTCATGGATGACACAGACTTTCTCATCAGTATTTGTTGTAATGGATGACAAAGACTTTCTCATCAGTATTTGTTGTAATGGATGACAAAGACTTTCTCATCAGTGTTTGTTGTAATGGATGACAAAGACTTTCTCATCAGTATTTGTTGTAATGGATGACAAAGATTTTCTCTTAAGTATTTGTTGTAATGGGTGACAAAGACTTTCTCATCGGTAGCTGTTGTAATGGGTGACAAAGACTTTCTCATCGGTATTTGTTGTAATGGATGACTGAGGCTTTCTCATCAGTATTTGTTGTAATAGATGACTAAGACTTTCTCATCAGTATTTGTTGTAATAGATGACTAAGACTTTCTCATCAGTGTTTGTTGTAATGGGTGAGAAAAACTTTCCGATCAGTATTTGTTGTAATGGGTGACAAATACTTTCTCATCAGTTTTTGTTGTTATGGGTGACAAATACTTACGCATCAGTATTTGTTGTAATTGGTGACTGAGACTTTCTCATCAGTATTTGTTGTAGTGGGTGACAAAGACTTCCTCATAAGTGTTTGTTGTAATGGGTGACTAAGACTGTTGGGTTTATTGTGGTGAACACATTGAAACATCTACATGAAATATCACAGTGATTCTCTTCATTCTCCTTTTAGGCTGATCTAAGCTATGGATTTTATTTGTCAATCTGTATCACAACGGCCTGCAAATAATCGAATCGGGACAACCATTGGTTGATAGCATCAGCAAAGACCGACGCGTGATCACAATAACACGAACATATTAGGAGAACCAGTATTGTAGTGAGAGTCTTGGATTCCCAGTTAGGTTCTTGTGAGATATGCAGAAACCGTAACTGTTATCATGACTAAAGTCAGCAATAAAGTTTCCGAATCTCAATCTCAAAATGGCCGCCATGTTTAAAAAAATAACTATTTCCCCAATTACTCGGCCATTTGTCTCAAGATGGAATAAAATGAGGTGTTGTTGATATTTGGACCTTGATTTGACGTTTGCACTTCAACCATTACTCAAGGCCATAACGCAACAATTTCTATTCCAAATTAAATAAAATCGGGTTGAGTTGGGCTCAACACACAGGTTCCGTTATTCATGACATTTCGAATTGTGTCCTGTATTTGACCTTTTCACTTTGACCGTGCTCCTGAATAGATCTCACCGAATACATCATCTCCTCAGAAACCACAAGATGCGGATATGAAACATGCTGGTTTCCACCAATGATGATACCCCAATTCGAATCCGTTCTGTCACAGAGGCCATTTTGAAAAATATATTTATGCCATTACTAGGCCATGTTTGTTGAAAATATATATTTAAATTAGTGTATTTGTTTAGTTGCAACACGTATGTACCGTTTAGTGCTACATTTAGACGGTGTTTTCAACCTTCTCTTCACATTTCCAAAAAGACATTTGTGGCTGAGGAACTGAACAGAGGTAAATACAACGTCAACTCTAGAAAAGAATGACGACACAAACATCATTGTGTGTAAAAAACAATTATTTATATATTTATATGAATTTATATTTTAGTGTAAGTTTTTAGTCCTCAATATTATTGCAAAGTGTTTTTGTATATTTTTGTATACCGTATAAGGCATACTGGGTGCTTTCTTAAGGCAGTAACAGCAAACCAGAGTGCAGGCTGCACTAACATGGAGTGCACAGTTTCACACAAGTTTCATTTCACTTTCCTTCGTTTTCGCCTCTCCATGGTATTATTGTCCTTGCGAGTTATGCGGCATATCTGATGTGGGAGGAAAGCCCGAAGTCATGCAGGTCTCAGACGTTTCTGTAGCTATCAGTGAGTGAGTAAGTGAGTGAATTTAACGCCGCTTTTAACAGAATTCCAGTTATATACTTCCTGCCCGAAGTCATGCAGGTCTCAGACATTTCTGTAGCTCTCAGTGAGTGAGTGAGTGAGTTAAACGCCGCTTTTAACAGTATTCCAGTTATATACTTCCTGCCCGAAGTCATGCAGGTCTCAGACGTTTCTGTAGCTATCAGTGAGTGAGTGAGTGAGTTAAAAGCCGCTTTTAACAGTATTCCAGTTATATACTTCCTGCCTGAAGTGTTGCAGGTCTCAGACGTTTCTGTAGCTCTCAGTGAGTGAGTGAGTGAGTTAAACGCCGCTTTTAACAGTATTCCAGTTACATACTTCCTGCCCGAAGTCATGCAGGTCTCAGACGTTTCTGTAGCTATCAGTGAGTGAGTGAGTGACTTTAACGCCGCTTTTAACAGTATTCCAGTTATATACTTCCTGCCTGAAGTGATGCAGGTCTCAGGCGTTTCTGTAGCTATCAGTGAGTGAGTGAGTGAGTTAAACGCCGCTTTTAACAGTATTCCAGTTACATACTTCCTGCCCGAAGTCATGCAGGTCTCAGACGATTCTGTAGCTCTCAGTGAGTGAGTGAGTGACTTTAACGCCGCTTTTAACAGTATTCCAGTTTTATACTTCCTGCCTGAAGTGATGCAGGTATCAGACGTTTACCACTTCGGTGAAACCCACGAGCACGGGTATGGTGCTGACAAACATAGAAACATAATCGTCTTAGACGACTGGGCCACCTGGGCCCCATTTCCATTAATGCTTCAATCATAAGAAATAATTACCAAACGGTAGTTGTATTTCAATTATCACCCATTAGTTCAAGATTAAATAAATCTTTGATGAAAATACACCTATTGTCCCCACATCGACTATGATGTTATCTTCTTTTCAAACTGGATTTTTTCGTACTGAAAACATCTTCTCTGAAATTGCCAGACAGATGAAGCTTGATTGTTGCCTGTATGAGGATGATTTATATTAAATATTAATTCTGGCAGCAACATTTGTCAAGTTTCCTCATATTTGTTGGGACGCATACAACCCTATGTCGCCCGAGTGATCCTGCTGCAACGAATTTATCTGTACTTATGTGACATTGTAAAAGAATTAACACAAATTCAAAATTGATAGAAAACAGTAGTTTAAGTGAGCTGCGATCAACTTGTGCTACCTGTATGTCAATTGACTTCAATTGACTCGGTTTTTTGCTTAGAGGCGAGGTATAAGGGATTTATTCTGCCTGTCAGAAGTCTATGTGCAGCATGTATTGCTCGTGGTGGGATATAAGAGATATATTCATCCGCTGCGAAACTTACTACCCTCCAAGATCACGTGGACGAATCAGATCTCATCATTCATGGAGGGATAATAAACTAGATTATATTCATCGCAAGTATACACATATCCCTAGCTTATTTCTATTTCTTATTTTTGTACTATTTCACTGACAGCAGAGCAACGACATTACCATTGTATGCATGTAGATGAGGAGTATGTATAAGTATGAATTTACAAGTTCTGAGCCTGACATGGAAAGACCGGACTGGTACAAGCAGCCACAAACACAGACACACGCACGTGCATGCACGTCGCTATACGAGTGCAATAATCTTGGACGCGACGTTAAACCCCATTTCACCTCACCTCACTTTTGTCGACGATGGTAAAGGGATTGTTCCCCTGGAAAAGAACATTTTAGTGTTAACGCTGTCACTATGACACTTTGGCGAGTATACAATAGGTTCACACATTGAGAGGGGTTAAAAATCCAAGTCAAACGGGACAAGAAGATTTTTAATGGTTGAAAATTATTTTTGAATTATTGAAATGATACTATTATATGTGTTAAGATAATCCAGCTCAATTCAAAAGTGGTGACAAATACAGACATTGATTGTTTGGAAACTATTGTTAATTTTAGGGGGGGCGGTCGGGTAGCCTAGTGGTTAAAGCGTTCGCTCGTCACGCCGAAGACCCGGGTTCGATTCCCGACTTGGGTACAATGTGTGAAGCCAATTTCTGGTGTCCCCCGTCGTGATGTTGCTGGAATATTGCTAAAAGCGGCGTAAAACCATACTCACTCACTCACTTAATGTTAGGGCGTGTTTACAATTGATCGATTGATACTTTGTGGATGTTGATGACTTTCACTGCCTAGATGTTACAAGAAAAAGAATATACATTACATTGCATTACAAA